AGTTATGAATATGGAAATCAACGAGTGTGGAAGCCCAATGTGATTTTGATATAATTTCTGGCTTTTGCTAAGATATTTTAGCTCACGAAATGCATGTGAACAGACTCGACTGATGATTGTGTATTTTTATAATACAATATAATAAATGGGGAATACAAACTTCATTTGTGAAGCCTGTCGTATTGATATAATGTAAGAACGTAATATTTACTGCCAGTTCATCTGCTTTGTGCATTTGAAACGAGCACTATATGGAGTTTAATTTTAAAAATGATATACTGTACCAATTCACACTGTTTATGTAGATATTTGGCCGCATAGACTATATTAAACGCTATATTATTAATACCATAGGCATAGTGTACTGAATTACATTCAGAGTGCCAGGCGTAGTGATCTGTCACATTACTAACAAACGTAGTGAATTTTTAACGAATGCTAGCCGTAGCGTTTTTGTGTATATAAAACGCCGTGTTCAACACATGCAGTATAATAGTTATGCAATTGTTGATTATGTGAGGTTGGATTGTGTTGATCAAGTGAAAGATCGTATTAATACAGACGCGTATTGTATACATGATATTTTCCACTTTCGTGACTTGACTATATTTAGCTACATTTTCAGTTAAGTTGAAAAATATATCATGAAATATGATAAAAAATGCATGGATTTGAAAAAGTTATAAATTTTTTTTCTAAAAAAAATTATCAAAAATTTTCCGCTAATCGCGCAATTTTTGGATTTTCCCTTTGGAGTATTTCGTCGTGAAATCGCAGGAAATGGCCATTCCAGACTTCTAAAATTCAAAATTTCCCGGGGGAGCATGTCCCCCGACCCCCCTAGAATGTGTGGGTCTTAGAGCAGGACTAGTCAAATTTCGCTAGCTACGCCACTGGAAGTAAACTGGCAAGTGTCTAAATCGAATAATGCCGTTTTATGCAGAAAACCCACCTCACGTGATGATTTTGAGTCCTCCTAGCCACTTACGATGTTGCGGATCCTCGTAGTTATAAAACTATGTGTCCTAAGTGTAATTCTGTTCGTAGCCTCACAACGTCATTATTGTGCTGTATGTAAGAACTGTTAGTACTGTTCTTTGTTGTTTAATATATGTATTGTTGTAATTTATTTATTCGGGCCCGCAGTAATTGGCAATTACGCTGTTGCGGATCCCCTGCCACTATGTAATATGTGCAAGGCTAGCCTGCGCTATTTAGGAGGGAGGGCGAGGGTGGAAGAAGCTAGGGGGGGGGGATGCGAAGGCGAGAGAAAGAGAGCAAGGAAAAATGGGAGGGGCGAGAAATAAATAGCTATTTCTTTCTCGCCCCTTCCATTTTTCCTCGCTCTCTTTCTCTCGCCTTCGCATCCCCCCCCCCTAGCTTTTCCCACCCTCGCCCTCCCCCCAAATAGCGTCTGCTACGCAGGCTAGTGCAAGGCTAATTAAATAAATAAATAAATTAGTCTGTGACATATGATAGGTCCTCCCGGCCGTATGAAGGTTTCTACCGGTTGCTTATTCAGTTAATGCGTTGTTCAAGCTCAATTAAGTACTATTTAAAGCACGCGTAGGAGTGTTTTATCACATATAAAACACGACGCGTAGCGGAGTGTTTTATGATGTGATAAAACACGCCGGACTACAAGTGCTTTAAATAGCTTCAAAAACGACTCATCTTATACGAGTTCATTGGCCAAGTAATTTTTAAAATAAACTTTGTCTAAACCGAGAAAATCAAAGCTAAAGTTTATGTAAATTAACGTGATTTTTTATCACATATAAAACCACGACACGCTTATATGATGTTTCTTTGTGTTTTGCTCCTGAATTATTAATGAGTTTTTGAAATATTTTTAGCTATTTTTGTACCAAAAGTAATACGGTAGATTATCATAAGGATATGCAACATGGTATCTTGGAATTCCCACCATGATAGTATTAAACAAGGGGCCGAAGAAAATATGATTATACAGGCTGGAAAATTATATGATTTAATATAATTTGTTTTTGCTGTATTAAACACTGCATACATATAACCTTAGCTTTGCTCTCCCAGTTTTTGAAATTTCCCTCAAATGTTTCGAAGGTTGACAGTGACCAGGTCTGAGGTTGAACAGAACGTGAGATTGGTACTTACCAATCTCATGCACAACAGTTCCATGATCTTCACAGCCATCTCCTATAGATATTTCTTGGGCTTTTTCGCCAGATCGACCGACGTTTGAAAAGCAACTTAAATAGAGATAGTTTATTTCAGTGTTACACAATCATGTATAAATATAATACAATTTCTATAGCCGATAAATTTCAGGGTATATATACTAAACTGGACTTGTTGCAGAATTATAAGTTCTTGGAGTTCTCACTCTAATCATGCATACTCTTTTGAATATTCAAAACCAAAAATAACTAAAACTAAAGACTATTTTAATTTTAAGCTATCCATCTACCACTGAAAACCCCTTCGGCAAAATTTAGTTCTGTCGAGTGCATGGGATGCCCAACTGACTTCTGATATTTATCAAGTTCTATTAATTCTGTATTTCGTTGCTTTTTATATGCATGCATGGTCATAATGTATAAGATAGACGTTTTATAACGATGGCTTCAAACTAGAATCAGATTCAAAAGGTTAAATTGATTGGACAAGGTTTTAGTAGCTTATAGTATTTCCAAACATCGATAAGACTATACTGGTTATACTGCTTTGGATTGTATAGGAAGTACGTATACAATATATTTATTCATTTCGAGAACCCCCCACCCCCCTCCCTCTGTCGGAATGCATGGTGTCGGTACGCCACTGGCTCAGTCTGGCTGCAATGATTACACCGTTTTGGTGTTGTGACCCTTCCTTTCTTGGAGCGCAACTGTAGTCTGTAAGGGTTATTTTTGACATTCCATGCATGCATTGCATAAATTTACAAATTTACTCCACGGTTTTCACTGTTTTCAATCCAGATAGTCCTATTTTGTGCCTTTTTGAATTTATGTGAATATGTGAATACAAATATGCTGCAATTAAAAGAACATTTTATATTATTCTTACCCATCTGCTTTAATAAAGTAAAGATAACCTTGCTGCTTCATAGCAACCTTGCCTTTGATCCATTTCACACACGGTAGCACCCTTTGCCATTCTTTGATTGCACTTGCAATTGCTGTTTTGGCATTTTCTGAAAAAATGAATGACAAATAGTTACATACATAAAATGTGTTGATTCTATAAATCTATTACTATCTATATAGATGAACGTTTATGTGCTTTAAAAAAGTTCCGAGGAAAGTTAACCAATGACAATCGCGTATTTTGAGTGTTACCTATAACGTGTAAGTACAAAATAATAGGTTAATTAAAAAGTATAGTTGAAACCAGGCACGTGAACTGGCCCCTGAGGGATGTTTATTTAGAAATCTGCCAGTGTCGGGGTGTGTGCCACACTGCATGCCCTACTCGCTGCAGCTAGTCACTTACTGCTGAGACTAGGACTGAGTGCGTAATAGATCGGTGACTGCCACAAGCTAGTTTTGTCACTCAAGAGAGCTCGTTTTTTGCGTCCTTTATTTCCTGGAGCTGTCAACTTGCTCAGTTGCTTTTGATTTATTTTAATATCGCCTTGGAAGAGATATACGCCATCATCTGTTCTTCCAACCTTTGCTAAACAGAGAAAGCGAACAACAAGTAGTTTATTAATACTGCAGTGGATCCTCCTATTCATTATTTGCCGATATATTGTCCGTACAATAAAAATTTCAATTATTAAACTCGGAACCTGATCTAAGTGCATGGAGGTCTCCGTTTTCAGTAGAGGTTCCTCTGTAGTGAGTTTATTTTAATTTCTTTCATTATTAACATCGACAAAATGGGTCATAATTTTTCAGCACCAATTTAAGGGTGGGTACAAAATTTTCGAGCAGCTATTAAGGGGTGGGCTACCAAAATTGCAGACACCAAATATATGATTTTCCCAGTTGGGCATGAAGAATTATAAAGCGGAAGTTTGTGTTATCAACGAAGCCGAAGGACATGCAGGTCTTGATGATATTTTATATATGCGAAAACCGAATTCAATAATTGTTTTGATATTTATTTAAAAGATGAAAGAGCGGTCGGTTGTATAGGAAGCAGGGTAGTCGTGATTGGCATGACCTCACAGCATTAATACTACTTTTTCATATCAACGTTATGACGTCACTCCGTTATGTTATGTCAAAACTCCATATTTGGACAACTATTCAGTTGATATGACGATCTCATAGTTGGCTGCTAGCCAGTCAGAAAATTCCAAATCTAAGATATGGCGGATTAAAATCAAAGAACATTTTATATGGTGATATTTCGATTTTATTTCAAAGCATACTGCAGGTCAACTGACGTCTACAACAAACTAGACTATCTCTGAAACTATCTAGGCTCTTTATATATACAGGGACCAGGGTGCATAAAATTAAAAAAGCTAATCCAATTTTGACATGTTATTGCGCGTTAATTACAGCTCGAACAGGCAAACCGAGGGGCCGTATTTTTAATGTTTTCAAACTAATGAAAAACAAATCACTAGCGCCAGCGGGTTATTTAGTCATAAGTTCATAACCAGAAAGTGTTTAGTCAAAATAACCCGCTGATGATTGGCTTTGGCTCAGTTTGAAAACATCAAAAATATGCAAAAGCGGCCTCGGTTTTCCCGTTCGAGTTGTTGTATACGTCAATAGGGTATTTTTTCCTATTATAAAGATCATGTTTTTAGCTGTCAAATGACACCTATATGGGATATGATTGCGATAAAAAATGACCAAATGTTATCTGATTTCGAGTGATCGGTTTAATTCTCATTTTTCCACCTTTGGGATTTAAATGTTCTTGCAAGAGGGGGGGGGGGGGGTGCAAGTAAAGTTTCGTCTCCCTTTCACTCTTCCTCTTGTGCTCTCCCTCCCTCTGTGAAAACCTGGTTAGTGGGCTACCTCAGTTGAGAATTTTGAATTCCTAGGTCACAGAGGAGTGTATATTTATGCTTGTTCTTAGGGACTTACTTCGTGCTTTCATGTTCGCCAGAAGAATCTTGGAAAATACATTGAGGTTTGCATTCGAAGTCCTTTGTGTGCTATTGCTCAAGTATTTTGATAACAAATTCCAGTTCTTCTGATCCAGTTGTCCAACAGCAGGTGAAGTTGGTACATTATTGACAATCCCGTTCACATCTAATATATTTATTAAGAAAGGAATTAAAATAATTGTTCATGCATATAGAAAAATATTCGACATTTTGTATTACTTATATTTGAATTTGTTATTATTAGAATTTACCTGAAAATTATAATGGCCACAAAATATACATAAATTGTAAGAAATAGAATGGAAAGATGAACATAGGCAACATTCTTGCTCGATTGTTGTGACATTGGCATAAATATGTTTGAAGCGAAACCAGGATTTTTCGCTTTTCAACGCTTTCTAATACTTATTTCGAATGTTGTGACATGGAAAGATTACAACCTCGTGTATGGGATGACGTACGGGATGCCCGTCCAAAATTCTATGGTTTTGGTCTTGCCAAAGCTGCGACTTCAACTGCGACTGTTGAAATGTATTGTATTTGATACACCCTGTATGGTGATTGATAGACTGACAGATTTCTGCCAATCTGGATGTTAAAACCAAGCTCAAAGAATATAGGGTCTCGTATTAAGTTTCGTTTTCCATTTTAAAATCCAAGAATATTGCATTATTGGTAGCTATACCAAACTCCATAGGCAGCATTTACTACCCTATTACTATCATGGCCATCGGGGTAAACTGTGTTTATAGCGCAACCAATCACTCGTTACTAAGATGGACTATATCGTTCGACAAAGTTATAATAAATAAATAAATAATATTTCAGAAGAGATTGCCCAAAAACAAAAGAAAGGGGGTGCCACTTTTATTACGCAGAGCATTTGGGATGTAAATATATTTTCAGTTGTCTAAATGACCTATTATAGTATACTCAGTGTCGGGCCTCGCGTAGGCAAAAAATTATCACAAAGTTCGAAACCTGGGCCTACTCTTCAGGTCTATCGAAGGCAAGGATAAAAGTCACAAAACACACCTGTGCAAAAGTATCTTTTCAGTTGAAAATAATGTAATTAAATATTAAATAAATATCAACTCAGTGTCAGTCGCTCACGGCGGTTCATACCAACGGAACTGTTCAAATAAAGACAAAAGAATATAGTCTGCGCGTGATAAAATTTGCTAAAGGAAAACCGGAGTTATTGAAAAATAAGACAGTTGTATGCGATTCGCCAAATTCAGAACAACTAAGATTTGACAATATTAAGGAAGAGCATCATTTTGAATTTACAGAAAGCATATCTACCCCCAGATCCCAGTTGGAGAGTCTTCGCCGCTCCGATTGTGCACAGCTGAGATTGCTTGGTTTAATTTAAATTTGTGATGGTTTTTAGTTACGCTTCTTTTTTCTTGTAAAATTTCAATTTCGTGTGCTGTTCGTTTACTGTTCGTGCACTTGTCTCCAGATTTTCCAAATTCCAACTGTGTGATTCATATTACGCCACAGTTAATGTTAACATTTGTAATGTATGTAGTGCGTTTTGTTTTAAATTGAATAAATCGCTACATACCACAATATAACGACACCAAGCATACAAGCCAAACAAGCACAGTCTCTCTTGTGAGAACCATCATTATTCAATCACCGCAAACCTTGCGTCCTATAACTTTACTTCTCTCGGCAGATGTACTTATACCGTACCTGCCCTGCCGCCAGAAAGCCGGCACTTAGGCACTAACGTCATCACCTTCGTCGTCACCAGCATATTATTTCTGACCACCAACATGGACAGAACTCATGGATTATTTCAGTTGTGGAATCATGGGCTTGTGCATTGTTTAAAAATTAAAAATGAAAAACGTTGGCAACAATGATTTGTTATAAATCAAAGGATCTGTCAAACAACATAATCTTTGTGGGAAAATTTTGATCCGGGAAATTAATTGCTCATATATTTCACTATACCACAATGCTGGGACGAATCACACCAGTGGATTTTCCAAAAATATTGAACAGATAATCGAGCGTTCTCCGCAGTGGTTCTGTGATATAGTCCTTCTATTTTAACGTTAATTCTATAAATGGCCTATTTAAAGTCCAATTTAGACTTTCCAGAAGTCAACTTCTTTTTCACAAGAACGAGCGGAGCCGAGCACTGCAGTCCAGGCTGCCTGCAGTCCGTGCTTTCTAACACACCAGCGTGACGTCGTCACCTACACCGCAATACAAAACCAGACTGAAAGACAGTGGAATTGTTTATGTCTATTGTCGATTTTTATGACACTTGAGACAAAATTGCTGGATTATTTTAAATGAGACAAAATTCACAACAAGATCATCTGTTGTAAAATGTGCAGTATATAAATCTTTATACCTCACTTTTGAACAGATACTTTATACTATTTCTAGTTGCACAAATCTTTGTATGTGTTTCATAATTACCTAGATTAAATCATTGACGAGTCCTCACGCAATTGGCTACTACTAAAAAGCGATACAGCGATACAACGATACAGCGATACAGGAACCGGAACCTGGAACCGGAACCTGGAACCGTGCATAATTTATGCAAATTAGAGCATTTTGCACCACAGGAGATATACATAATAATAATTAACAGGGGGGGAGGGCGCAATTCAAAGATAGTATAAAATATTATAATAATTTATATGCAAAGCATTTATTTTGATTTTTTAAACAAAACAAAGAATGAACATCGTTGTATTACTATATTACGAAGTAAAACATGCTTCGTAATTGCGCGGCGATTCTTTTTGTCTGTTTTGATATGACTACATGTGACACACTTCGTTTATTTAGCCGCCGCACTTGATCGTGAAATGCCAGCAATTCAGCAGCAATTTATTGCCGGTGCGCTAAAGTAATAATAGTGTAGTCAGTGTATGATGCAATCCAACATTGAATGTGCTATATACGCTGCGAACACGCGAATATTATTCATTATTATGCATTTTTGACATTGAAGTTACCTT